CAAATATTTAATAAAATAAATGAATGTATATGTATATATGCATATATAAATACACACACACAGAGGACATATCCTGAGAGCACATGCCCACCAAAAACCTGTATTTCTCAGTAAATTAGAGTATTCTGAGGGTCCTTTTTTCTTCCCTCAAACATTTCTACTGCCTTGAGATCACAGAATTAATTCCTGAGCTGAAGGGGAATCTCAGAAGCCATCTAGTCCATCCCACCCCCCAATTTTATGGATGAGGAAACTGAGGTTTCAGGAGGCTAAGTGAGTTGCCCAAGGTCACACAGTTAGTGAACATCAGACACAGGATTTGAACTCTGGACCTCTGACTTCAGATCTAATGCTATTTTCACTAGATGATGCAACCTCCATATCTATTAATTGTATTTTACTCATTTCTACTTATACATTTGTCCATGAAAAGAAAATCCTGCATCATCAAAGAGACCATTTTGTGTCTCTTCATGTGGCTTAGTCTCAGTCTTATTTCGAATTTCCCAAACAGGCTTGATATCTTGAAACTCTCCAGGTCCATCACCTTCACTCACAGCTCAGCAGGAAAATGAACTGGTGCTCAGCCACCCCTCATCTTGTAAAATACACTACCAATCGATCCTATTCTATTTCTGTCTCAGCATTGTGTGACTTAAGTCAAGAAGCATCACTTTAACTTACTATATCACCTTTGAATAACTTCAATAATAATTTCTCGCATATTCAAAAAGTACATGGCACCATCCTAGGCATATTTTTTAAAAAGAAAAGAAAAAAAACTTTTTTGCCATCAACGACCTATGATCTAATAAGACAAGATGGACAAAACATATAGGCAGAAGATGTATTAAATTTTTAAAAATGTATAGAACTGCCCCATGGGAATAGGCTAGGTCAGTGATTATGTTGGAGTTAGAATATGAATTAGGTTAATCCTAATCTAAAAGGCTATCCATTTTGTACCAAATAAAATATAAATATAAAAGTGTTATCTGAATGTAATGGGCATATACCAGTGGGAATTAGACCAGTTTTCCTTCCCTTCCCATATATGCTGAGAGGGCATGTACATGAAGCCCTGAGAAAGATTTTCCTGATTGGCAGACCACGGATGTACAAAATGTGGCTTGGGATGTCATGTGTGAGATCTGAGTTACCCATGGGTAGAGACAATCAATCAACATTTCTTAAGCACCTACTATGTGCCAGGCACTGAGACCCAGTACTGAGAGATGGCAAGAATGATGCTAAGCATGGATGACAGAAACTACTGCCAACTACTAGAGCCATTCAGACAGCCAATGCTGAGTACGGAGTTGAAGATACTGAACTTGTACCATCATGGGACATACTGAAAATTATTTTCCTCAATGTGGAGAGTGCTGAGCCTGGAGTCATGAAGACCTGAGTTCAAATCCAGCCTCAGACACTTACTAGCTATGTGACTTAACCTCTGCCTGCCTCAGTTTCTTCTACTATAAAATGGGTTTAATAATAGCCCCTGACTCCCAGCATTGTTTTGAGGATCAAACGAGATATTTTTAAAGTTCTTAGCACAGTGACTGGCTCATAGTAGGCATTTAATCTATTAACTTCTTCCATACAAGGCAGGGACTTCACTAATTCATTCTATGAGTTTTAAAGGGCTGTGGACTGCTTGAACCTTTGGAGATAGACATGAAGTTTACTGGGAGAGAATGTAAGTTTTCCAGTTTAACTCATTTCTGTGTTCCTTACTGTATGAAATAAACTTGTGGCTCCAAGAAGCTGTAGTATTTGTAATGGTCACACCCCGTAAAACCATCTCATCAGATGGACTAAACCAGGTTGAAGGTAATGGATAGACTTCAAACCAGTCAGTGAGTTGGGGGATGTTTACCCCAAGTATGTGAAGACTTTCCCTATGGAATAGGCAGATGAGAACAATTTGTTCCAAGGGCCATGAAGGCCACTGAAGTAGGTGCTGTGGAATGCTAAGACCCAAGGTTATCCACTACATCCTGGGCCATCACCAGTCATCTTGACTTTTGTCTTGCCACTGGACTTTGATGATGCTGGAAGAGAGAGCGAAGCTGAGCACTTTGTGTAACTCTGCCTCACTTCAATCCAATTCAAGCATGAGTCAAGATATCACCTGTGATGTCATTGTTCCTCTTCGAAAATGAAGGACAAACAATAAATAAACCTATACTATGTTCAATGTCTCTATTAGCCTGAGTTGAGGGCCTTCTGAGAGATAGAATTCTCATTTCTGCCCTTAAGCCAGATGTTTGTGTTCAAAAGAGGGACTTTGGGTTGCAGAACAAACCACTAAGAATATTGTTAGAGGAAGGCCTTTGAGATAACATAGTCCACTGAGTCTGAAAAGTTATACGAGCACTCAAGGATATCAATCACCTGCCTTTAAGTTACTTTTTTAGGCTTTAATCATTCTATGACTCTTTATATATAGCAATATCCAATCAAATTGGTCTAATCACCATTTTTAAATTTTGCCCTGTCTTCTCCTGTCTAAATGCCCCTACTCATGTGTTCCCTACAACTGGAAAGGACTCTTCTCTCCAACTCAAGTGTCACTTCCTCCATGAAGACTTCCTCAAAACTTCCAGTTGGAAATAATGTCTCTTTTTTCAAATCTCAAGGAGCTGATTTGATTGGCAATAGGGAGTTATTGAATGTGTTGGGACATTGAGCGAACTGATAAAATGAGATTTATATGTTAGGCAGATAATTCTGCTTTAGAATACATTGGAGAAGGGAGAGTCCAGTTAATTTGCTAGAGGGTTATTATGATATTCCAGGGGACAGGTAATGAGGGACAGAAGCAGGAAAAAGGCTGTAGAAATTCTCAGAAAGGATGTACTCTAAAAATATCTTGCAGTTAGAACTGACAGGATGTGAGATGGAGGCAGGAAGTTTCTTGAGAGTAGTCTTTCATTTTTTGTCTTTGTTTCAAATGCTTACCATAGTGCTTGGCACAGAGCAGGCATTTTACAAATGCTTGTGAATGGTTTGCTCCAGGTTTATGAGTTTTAGTGACTGGAAAAATGGTGATGCTAATTGACAGAGATGCGAAAGTCAGATGAGGCTGGTCCAAATTTGGAAGGTGAGAGATTTAAAGGGCTGTGGGGAAGGGAAGTAGCTGTTGTTTTTTTTTTTAATCTTCAGTGTGAAGGGCCATATTGTATAATCTTTAATATGTGTTAGCTAATAGGGAAGGCAATGGAGAAGTTTAATCTTCCCCTTTCTCCCTGAAATAAGAACTCTGCTGGTCAATGCCCAAATGTGGTGTGGGGAGGAGGGAAAAGAGAACAAAATTGCCACAGTATGATGGGAATTATTTTTTATTAGTTTGCCATCTAGCAGCTCCTACTGTGCCTAGTTTCAAACCTCAAGGTGTGAATATCTGCCCCCACTGTCACAGAAGTCTGAGCATAGAGCATATGATTATCCTTTCTCCACAGTCATAACTAGGGGAGGGGACACAGTGTGACCTATCTCCCATCTGTGCCCTGAACCCAAAGGAGAGAATGGAACTCAGTGGGTGTCACCGTTCCAGCTCTTTTCATTAGCATTCAGTTTTGGTCTATTGCTTATGATGAGATAGGACAAGCCTTCTAAGAGTCCTCCATTAACTTTCATTCAAACACCCGAATCTCGTCAAGACAGTAAGAAGATACAGATGTCCTTGTCTTCAATGTCCTTTTATTAATCACCCTAAAATGGTTCTCAAGTGTCTCCATTCACCCATTCTCTAGCCTTACTTTCCTAATCTTTGTCGATTATGCCTCTATTTTTTTTTGAAGACAGGGCAGTTGGCTCTTAAATGTTTCCTGCAGTCTTTTCATTTTGCTGAATTTTAAATATTTCAGCCAATTTGAAGAGTTCATAATGATGAATAAGATTAAGCTTGGAGCTTAACCTTTTGAAACCGGGTGACGCGTTAACTCGGCTGGAACGCTGGTTAATTTAACAGCAGGAGTTGAATTAACTTGTCACAGCTCTGCCATTGTTAAATTCCCTCTTCCTGATCCTTGTCCCAGTCTCACAGAGTTGGATGCACTGGACCAGGTCGATGAGCCAGGGAGAGGAATAGGGAGGTGGAAAGGCAGTAGAGAAGAGATAGTGGAGAGAGTAAAACAGGTGACCAGAAATAACTAGGTAAGGAAGAGGTTAGTTTAGGAAATGAAGAACAGAACAATTTATTGTAAACAGGGCAGGGAGGAATTTGAAAAAAAAAATCATAATGAAGAAAAGTAGTGAGGAAAATAAGAGAAAACAGAGACAGTGAGATATGAAAGAGAAGAGTAAATTAGTATTGTCAACATATTCTGTTATTTTAAAAAATTATCTCTATAATTTCATCAGTATGGGGAATTCCAGTGGAGAAATTCCCTCTATTGTTACAGATCAGTAACTGCTCCGAGGCTCAAAGACTGAGCATTGTCTGGGAGCACTGAGAGGGTAAGTGACTTACCCACAGACACACAGTCAGGATGAGGTTGAGGTTGAACTTGAACCTAGGTCTTCCTGACTCCAAGGTTGGATCTTCCTAACTTACCAAGCCATACTGCTTCTTATTTTGGTGCTTATCTTCCTGAAAACTGAGTCTACAATATACCCAGTATGTTGACTATACAAATAGTAATTAAAAAAAAGACATTGTTTTTGCCCTCAAGGAGGTTATTTTTAACTGTGAGGGTTATAACAGGTAGGCAGATAAGCTGCTAGTACCCTCCTCCCTCCTCCCTCCTCCCCCCCCTAAAATTACCTTCCATCTATCTTGCAAATAAGAGTAGAGCTACCATTTTTGACAAGCTAGGACTACAAAGTGAGCAGAAATCGCTAATTTTATTATTCTAATTCCATGTTTCTTTTTCCCCAAAAGTCCTGACTGTGGTTTACAGAGGAAAAAAGTAAGTTTGTTGATGAAAATATATTCCAAAGGGATTGTCTTGCCTTAGCCAAACCAGAGATATTTTGTTAGATCCACTTACCTGTAACATATTTAATACTCCACACTTTCTTCTCAAACATCCTAGCATATATCTGTTCACATGGAGGGAACCTAAGGAAAAGACAGAAAGGAAGGCATAAAAGGAGCAATATAATAAAGGTAGACACTGAGTGAGAGGAGGGTCAAAGAGGTGATCAGAGGAAACAAGGGAGTTTTTTTTGGGGGGGGTCAAGAGGAGATAACTAGGGGCCAGAGCAGAGATGAGATTTCTGTGAGTGATTCAGGAAAAAAAAAACAGAATTGAGATCTGAAGGCATGAGAATGGGGCAAACACCTACTATTCCCTAAAAAAAGAAAAGACCACTGCTGGGAAGGAGTGGTCCTATGATTGTTGTCACTCTGTGAGGAACTAGGTCCAATATGCATTATTTTCTAGTCTCACTATGTCCTTTTTGCCTGGCAGCAGAGTACTATAACACAATTTGTAGACAAATCTTTGGGGGGAAAGACCCAGTGACACCTCAAATATAGGCAAACTAAGTAGCCTGCTTATAAGCACCAGTCACTTTGGGCTCCATCAATAGAGATCATACAGAGCCTTTCTTCTCTCTCGGTTGTGTTGGTAGCGCCTTAACTTAACACCAAAAGGACATTTTCTTTTCTATCTGTATGATTTTGTTGCAGGGCTCATGTTCCTTCACTGATACTGTAACAGGTTTTCAATTTCCAGGATGGTTGCCTGAAAGACTGTTGGCTGTATAGGAGCCTAACTGGAGCTCACTAGTTGGATCTGAAGCGGATTACTAAGGATTCCAGGGCATTTTGCTTCTGTCCAAAATTACTTTAAGGTATAGGCATCAGATGGCTGGGCTGTGTCTGATGGATCAAGAGAATGGAGCAAGTGAGAGAAGGTGAAAGGGATAAAAAGATAGAGGACAAAGAAAAGATCAAAAAATGTAATGAGAAGAGACAAAAAGAATGAGCAATATCTTATTTAGTGCCAAGATAGAAACTCTGACAACGTATTTTGAATTCATCGAGATGTGTAAAGGACACAAAGCCATTTTTGAATCCAGTGTAGAAGCATGTGAGCAATACATTTTGCAAAGTAAATAAGATGAAAAGGCATGAATAGGTAAGATTATTACTTTAGGTAACTTTGGAAATGCTCATAGTTTTCCCATTTTACAACAGCAAGTCACTCTAGTTCTGCTTGAGAAATATCATATACAATAATAGAGGGTTGTTGATAGGTGAATGCACGTTAGCCAAATTTGAAGGATAAAAATTAGCATAATGGTTTTTGGTCTTTATTATATCTTATGTTCTTTCATGTTTCTAAACATTGCGCTAAAATTAAATAAAAATCCTTCTAAAGGATAAATTTCATCCTTTCGTGGCATATAAAAACACCAAAAATTGCATTTTTTTACTTTGCTTGCTACACTTCTGTTTTACTTTATACTACAATTATATGTACACATATACAGTCAATCCTCAACTTTCGTGGGGTAACATTCCTAGAAAATGGCACAAAAGTAAAAAAAAAAGATGAACCTATGGGAAATAGAGGGTTGGGTTTCTGCAACCACCAAAAACTAATCTTTTGCTAGAATTTGCTGAAAGTACATTTTTCTGCATACAATTCTTTATAGGAAAACATTAATTCTGATAATATGTACTTTTCCTAACACAGTAACCATGAAATGACCCATAAAATGCATGGAGAGGAGAAGCAACATTGAACAAGAAGGGGAGGAAGAGGGACAGTGTTGCCAGAAGAACCCTGAGGTAAAAAAGGGAAAGGGCCAACCTGTCATATCTAATTGCCCTTTCTGCTCCATAGTTGAACTGCTCTCCCATGAAAAGCACATCCCTCCAAGTGAGTCCCCAGCCCCTGTCCAAGGTTGGAACTCCAGGGATTGCTTGGCCTGGCAGCAGGCCAGATATGGTGGGCAAGACTTTGAGAGGAGAGAGGGTGACCATCATGTCATTTACCCATAAACTTAGCTGCTTTTCTGGTTTTTTCCAATTCCCTCATCTTGCACTTGGGAGGTTACTTTAGCATGGAGAGGATTCATGAATTCATGAAATTCAGGTGCTTAGTTTATCTAACATCTTTGTTTTCTCACTAAACTTTTGACACTTGGACTTAGAACCCAAGAGACTTTCACCATGCTTTGGGGGTATAACTGTAACACAAAACTTCGGTTTTAATGGCAAACAATGAAAATATGCAACAAATGTAGAGGGAGTTCTTTACTTTGCAATAGTAGGGGAACAAGACCTGGCAAGCACCTAGTAGGATACCACTCACTCCACAAACTTGCACACATTGTGCTTCTTATTTTTTTCTCTACTGTACATAGCCACAAATGTGCTTAGTTGCCATGTGGAAGTGAAAACGAAGTTATTAATAAAGTCACTAGAATGTTTGAAGTTGGGAAAATTAAACATATGAATGTTGAAGATTGACTGTACTTTTTTCATCCTCTACTAGAAGTTAAGTTCCATATGGAGCAGGGACCATGTTTTATTCTTCTCTGTATCACCCCCCCCATAATTAACCCAGTTTCTTATACCTGAGGTACTCAATAAATGTTTGTTGATTGAGTAAATAGGATGCACAGCCCCTGGGACATGACACTTCACGAGAGCAGACTTTTGTAGAAGGGTTATTATTCTTGTTCTTCATCAAGAGAATTATTTACTCAAGTATTAAGAGGATTTTGTTTCAAGATAGTTTTGACTATAAGGTGATAGATAACATCTAGAATAATCTAATCAGCACAAAAGAGTGCTTTCACTATCATTAGGTATCTACAACAAACCACTATGAGTTTGTTAGGCCTAAAATACTAATATATATACACATGTATATATATATATATATATATATATATATATATATATATTATATGTATATGTATATATGTATGTACATATATATATACTAATATATGTGCATGTATACTAATATATATACATGTATACTAATATATATATGTATATACACACATACAAACACATACACATATTTAATATCAGCAAATCATGGACTGAACTATGGCTCTGTTAGTTTTCCAAGACTTACCAGACCTGGTCTTTGCCAAACTCAGGAAATACACAACTTACTCTGTTAAGAATACCCTTCTTTTCTCCCCATGGTTGTAATTAAGGGCTCCCTGACCCTAAAGAGAATGAAAACTTATTAGTTCAAGAGCAGAACTGGGGATTTTCTATGTCCCCCTAGAGATTCCATGCTGTGAGTGTGTCCTGAAAGCCCTTGGCATAGTGGGTCATTCATTCAATTCATTTCTATGTTACATAAATTGTGATTGGTGCTGGGAAGACAATAAAAAAAAATGAAACTATCCCTACCTAACCTCAAGAAGCTTAGCTTCTACAGGAGGAGAAACACATACTCAGATAAATCAATATAATATAGTTTCAGGATTGAGGAGGACACTGAGGAGGACAGGGAAATCAGGAAACACATTTATTATTTTTAAATAGCATTTTCCCCTAATTACATGTAAAGATATTTTAATATTCATTTCTAAATAAAATTTTGAATTACAAATTTTCTTCCTCCTGCCTTCTCCTCCCCCTCCCTAAGATGGTAAGTGATTCGATATAGGTTATATACATACAATTATGTAAAACCTATTTTCATGTTAGTCATGTTGTGAAAGAAGAGACAGTTTGCAAAACAATTACAGTTTACAAAAAGAAAAAAAATGAAAAAATAAAGAAAGTGAAAATAGTGTGCTTTGATCTGCATGCAGACTCCAGCAGTTCTTTCTCCGTATATGGATAGCATTTTCCATCATGAGTCTTTTGGAATTGCCTTGATCATTGCATTGCTGAGAAGAGCTAAACTAATCATAGTTGATTATCACACGATGTTGCTGTTACTGTGTACAATGTTCTCCTGGTTCTGCTCATTTCATTTTGTATCAATTCATGTCTCAGAAAGGCATTTATGTAAAGACTATCACTTGAGGTGAACTTTAAAGGAAGCCAGAGGGTTATGAGGTAAGGTTGAAGACAGAGGACATTCTAGGTGTGAAGAACAGCTTGTGCAAAGGCACAGAGCAGGAGGATCCTTTAATTTTCAGGGAGTGGGCTAAACCCATTCCCTATCTCTAACCCTTTTGTTAACGACAACTACCATTAATCTAGGGGGTATGGTCTTTGTGGATTTATCCATTTAGTTTCTTGGCTTGACCTCTACCCACCAGGAAAATTTTACCTCTTTCCCTTCATGCTGTATTTCATTTCACTCAAACTAGTACTCAAGGGTGTTTTGATAAATGTTTATTAA